GTGAAGTTTTTTTGGAAACACAAGGTTACACTTTCATTCCTTTTTTTAATCCAATGTCAAAAACAAACTGGTTCTAGCAAATTAAAAAAGTAAAGATTTTATTTGATGACTATTGTATCTTTGGCTACAGGTGTGAGATTTACTTCATTTACGTTTATTATATATAGAGGATCACACATGAGCCTTCACACTCCTGCCACCCGACCTCAAGGTTACTGCTGATGAAGGGGGAAAGATTTGTGACCTCTACTTTCTACCAGACAAACACAAGTAATCTCTCCTTCGAGCAAACAAGCCTGTTGTTTGTCTTCCAGGGTATTAAGTGAAGAAAAAAAATACACAAGGTTTAACAATAGTGTTTCTTATTCATGAAAAGCCCCTGGACGGCAGGATTAGAGGAACCAATTAGAAAATGGCCAACGACTGCGGTTCCCTGGGCCTGTGTCGTCAAAGCTGATGTTTGTTCTTCTGTGGCAAAACAGGGCAAATGGTTTTTCTCCCAACGAGGCTCAGGAGCTGCCTTGTGATGATATCACTCATTTCCATGCCAAGGGCTCTTGCACAATATGCACGATATTCAAGTCGGGCGAGAAAAGTTCAAAACTGTTTAGAGGATTTTGTCTGTGTGTTTGTGTGATTTCTCTTTCACTTTTTAAGCAAATGTTCCTGCGCTGAGGTGCAAGGTCAAAGGTTCTATATTCTCTCCAGCCGCCGCTCTTCAGGGTTGACAGAGGAGGACAAATATTGACAGTCTGAAAGTCCAGACAGATGCATGGCGCTGCAGCTCTCTGTTTTCCGAGCACGGCCAAAGGCTGGGAAGTGTGGTGGATGGCCGTCCCACCGGTACGCGTGCTCAAATAACTAATAAAAAACCAAACTCATTGGAAACATGAACACTTCCCTAAAATGACCCACATTCCAGGGTTTATGACCTAGACTGCATCTAGCCACCAGGGGGCAAACAAAACTGGGTTCACTTCTGAGGAGCTGTCATGTCTTCCATCATTATTTACAGTGCGCAATTAAAAGTCATTCACACAATTTACAGTGTAGGTAGAGGTTAAAATTCTAACGCACCCGTTACCTTCGATGTTTGTGTTTGTGTGTTTGTGTGTGACTCACTATGCTGCCGAGTCGTTGAGCTGATATTCGCGGGAGCGGCTGAAGCAGGCCTGAACGCCTCCGTCCTTCCAGAGACGTTTAATGACGCCAGCAAGCTCTGCTGTCATGAAGCCTTCCTCAGCCGAGCCGGCCAGCACAAACAGCTGCCGTGCATCATCCTGGCGAATGCGAAAAAGGTGGCGTCAATATCGTCAATCAACAATCTAAGTAATTACTCCATCATTATTGTTCGCATTAATCTGCTTCCAAGCTGAAACTCCAGTCGTCAGGACATTTCAGAAACAAGACTTATTTGTTCTTGTGCATATACGAGTGCAAGCAGGGGCATTCCTCAAAAACAACAAGGCGTCAAAGCATTTAATTTGGATTTAACGCAATAAAAATACATTTTAAATAACTGATAAACAACCTCTGAATTCATGACTACAATCAAGATTTACTTTCCCATGAGCCTTTTCTGAGAATCCAATGTTTGCAGACGCTTGTTTTCCAACGCCACAAATTCACTTTAAACTAAATTACATCCCTCTCTCCGTCACTCACAGCTCTCGCGGCGTCGCCAAAGTCGATCTTGAGGCGGCCCATGGCTCTGATGATGGCGATGATGGACTGGATTGTGTTGCTGTAAACCACGGCCTTGTACTGCTTACATTCCTCTTCTGAGTAGCCCGCCTCGTGGATGATCCTGCAGAAAGACAGAGGAAACACCGGCTCAGAATTCTAGTCATTTTTTCCTGCACTTTAAAAATAAATTTGGTGCAAAAGCCGCATCCAGAGACAGAAAACTCTTTCGATTCTTATTTCCTTCACTTTCTTTTCTCCTCAGCTCTTATTTAATAACTCTTTCAATACTCTGACATGCTCATTGGAACGTCTGCACAATTTTTGTCAGGACACAGTGTCCCTAATCTCCGTATTCCTTATTTCTGGACGCTTTAAAATGTGGTCACCCAGAGAAAAGAAGCTCCTTTCACACAGCCCGTCAAGGGGCCAATTTTCTGCTGCAATCCCGCCTGGCTCGTCTGTGTGAAAGACACAAACTCTGAAATGGAGTTGATTGTTGTTCCATATTTATGCCGACAAAAGAAGAAGTCCCATATTGACATCCATGTAAAAGGGTGACCCAGCGTAGAGGGACAGGAAGCCGACTCTGTCACATTACATGTCGTGTCTCTGATTCTAAAACATTTTCGTGGGATTTCTGAACATAACAAAAATAATGGTCAGTTTTGGGAAACAGAAAGTACAGGAAGCTACTTTCACTCGCTGAGAACACGTGAATCTGCTCATAGATCAGTTGGTCTATGAAAATAAGCTGATAAGAGCCTTTCACAGACGTATTGGTATCTATGTTCTTTTATTTGACAGAATAAATACTGTAGAAAACACAAGACTGTTTATTTTCTTGATGAAAGTTTTATAGTTTGCAT